GAAAATATATAGAAAGTGCTTTTATCGCTTGAACATCAACAGTAATTTTGCTTCCTGTTTCTTACAGCATTTCTCCTTTATTGGCGGATCTTCTAAAGGGTGTTCCAATAACTTGAACCGATTTTAAATGTCAATTCAAGTTTCAGCATCGAATGATTTTTTTTTCTTTTTCTTTCAGATTTAACAACTTAAGTCTTTAGCAATTTCAACAATGGACAGACTAACAATCAAACAACATGTTAAAGTTATGGAAGCCCATTATGAAAATGAACTTTCAAACAGAAATTGAATAAGTTCCCCGGTCACATAATCTCTCGAAATTGTGAAGTCAATTGGTCACCAGGATCGTGCAACTTGAGGCCTTTAGATTTCTTCCTTATGTGTAATTTCAAAAGTAAGGTCTATGCCAACAAGCCAACAATAATTCAACAGCTGAAGGATGAGATAATAAGGCATATTGGTGAGATCAAGGAGTAACTGTGCAGAGACGTCATCAAAAATTTTGACCATCGAGTGGAGGTGTGCCATCGAAGCCTTGGCGGACATTTGGGCGATATTATTTTTCACACATAATTGCCATGACTTAAATAACATGATACAATAGTGAAATAAATAAATTTTCACCAATAACACTGATTTATTTACTCCTGACTTTGATCCGTTTTAATGAAACACCTTTTATTACCACAATGTGGGATATTTAATAACAAAAGCCATAAAAATATAGATAAAAAGAAACTAAATTAAATTATCAAAACTTTAAAATCAAGCACAGATAAAAAAAAATAAATTATATTTAAAAGTTTAAAATTTCATCGTCTCCCTTTCAAGCGCAGGAACTGACACGAATTTAAGAGCACATCAAATTCGGAAACCTCTATATTTATATGAAAAGGGGAATTACATTGAAATCATTTGAAACTAATACAATACACTAATTATTTCATGTTCAATGCGAAACAAAAGAATTGTAAAAATTTTCAAAAGAATTATTCCAGGAAATACAATGAATTTCGACATTTTCTAATTTCATCTAAAATATATTTCAATTTATTTAATCTAAACATAGAATTTGCTTAATATATTGAATTAATAGCCGTTATATTTTTGGAAATTACTGGAAAAAAAATTATTATTTTTAAATTAAAATTATTTACATTATTTAAATTGTCCTTTTTACTTTTTTCTCATCTTTGTTGTCATATTCAGGACGTTTCGACTGTTGTACACTCCGGCCTTCTTCAGAATCTGTCTATATTTCTAAGATGAGGTTTTTTGAAATTTTAAACTTTTATTTGTTCGGACTGTTGTGCTTATATTTATTTTGAAATTCACAAAAAAATCTATTGTTGTACGCTTTTGACCTTTTCAAGATCTGTCTAATTTCTGATTTGAGATGTCTTGTAATTATTTACTGGCATACATTGTTCTTACTGTTGTCCTTATGTTTGTTGCCATATCCATGACGTTTCAGTCGTTGCTAATCACCGATTTAAATTCAAGGATCTGTTTATATTTCTCAGATGAGGTACTGTAATTATTTACATCATTCGGATGGTTGTCCTCGTCATATTCAGGTTTCATACGTTGAAATTTCGAACCGAACCTTTTATTCAATCCTCCGAAATATACATTTAATTAATTCCACGTGCCATTCCTTCTAAAAAACTAACGATATTCAAACAGATTTTGTCCCTTCTGTTACGGTCAGGTATTGAAGTCACAACTGTATGAGTCAAATGACTTTTCGGATTACTCAAACAACGCTTTTATTCATCGGATCATGTTTTCTTTCTTTCTTTTTTTCTTTCTCTCATCCTTCCATCTCATTTTTTCTTTTATTTTCTTTTGTTCCTATATATTTGTTAAAATTGTTACCTTTTCTTTTCATCATTTTTTTCTTATTCAGGTGATCATTTTTCTTTTTTGTTTTTTCTTTTGAGTATGAAAATTATTTCTTTCTTTCTGTCGATTCCCTTTGACTTGTTGTTTTCTTTTTTTTTCAACCTTTAAATTTTTTTTCTTCTAGTCATCGTCTTTTTCTTTCGTTATTTCTTTTATTTTAACCCTTTTGGAAACTAATTGATTCATTAATTTATTCCATCCTTTTTTTTTGAGTCTTTCTGTTTTATAGCCGTTTTCATTCATTAAAACTTTTTGTTTTTTTTCTTACTTTCATTCTTTTCTTTTCTTTTTTTAGAGTTTTTTTTTTAATATTCACATTTCATTTTTTCCAGTCATCTTTTAAATGGCAATTGTTTTTATTTTTTTTTTCTATTTCGCCATTCTTTGTTCTTTCTTTCCTTCATGTTTTTTAAAATCTTCCAAAATTTTATTCGTTAATTATTTCATTTCTTTCCAAAAAGAACACTTCAATCGTCCTTTTTTTTTTTTTTATTTTTTTAAAAAGTTTTCTTCTTTACAAAATCTGTCTCCACTTTTAAAAAATTTTTTTTTATTTTTTTCTTTTACTAATTTCTTTTAAATTTTTCTTTCTTTAATATCTAAAATTTTTTCTTTTTCTTTCTCTTTTCAAATGATTAATTTCTTTCATCTTTTCTTATAAATTTTCAATCCTTTTAATTTCTTTTTTCCATTACTTTTGTTTCAAAAATTGAAAATTTAAAAGCTTTTTCTTTTTTTCTTTCTTTTTCTTTCTTTATTTAAAATTTTTTTTTTAAATCAATTTCTTTTTTTATTTCCTTCTTTCTTTTTTTCATTCAAGTTTCAATAAATATTTGTCAAATTTAACATCAGCTGAAAAATCATTTTCAAATTTTTCTTTTTTTTTTTTTTCTTTGAATCTTTCTTCTTTTCCTCGCTACTACAATATTTTGAACAAATTCTTTTTTCTTTTTTTTTTTTTCTTTTATGAAATTCTTTTCTTCTTGAACAGAATTTTTTTCATTTTTTATTTTTTTTTATTTTTTTAAATTATAAAACAAGTCATTTTTATTTTTTCTTTTTCTTTTTTTTTTAAAATTTAATTAAAAATTTTTTTTTTTTTCTTTTTTCTTTTTCTTTATCATTCTATTTTTTTCCGGGAATACACAAATTATCAGAATATTATAAAAATTTCATAAATTTATTTTTCAATTTTCTTTCTTTCTTTTTTCCCTCAATGATTTGATTTTCTTTTTTTTTTAATTTTTTTTATTTATTTAAATTTTTAAAAAAAATCTTTTCTTAAAAAAATTAAAAATATATATATTTATTTTTTTAAGTCAATTCATTCTTTCTTTCTTTTTTTTTTATATTTAAATTTTCTTTTTTATTTTATATATATTTCATATTTCATTTTTTTCCAAAATCTTGTTCGTTCATTTAGATTTTCTTTTTTTTTCTTTTCCATTCCTTAATTTATTTATTTTTGAAATAACTTTTTTTTTTAGTTGTTCATTTTTTTCAAATCTCAGAATTTCAAAATCGTTTTTTCTTTCTTTCCAAAAACATTACATTTTCTATTCGCTTCTTTCTTCATTTCTTCGCAGCCTTCCAATTGTCATCGTCCTTTTTCTTCTTTTTTATATTTCTTTCTTTCTTTTCAATCCTTCTTTAAATGTTTTTCCTTCGCATTAAAAAATTCAATCATCGTCGTCGCCCTTCCTTCTTTTTTAGTAAGAAATTTATTTAATCTTTCCCACCTTTCACAAGAACACCTTCTTACCGTTGTCTACAATTCAATATGTCAGTCATTTCTACTTCAGATGATCGCACGACGAGAAGAAAATCTTATTTAATATACACTTCTGCCCACGTTTCCCTCCCACGGCGATATGACTGCACACATAAATACAGCTGCAACTTGAAAATGCACGCTCTGTTTATTTAACTCGATCTTATGGAGTTGTTCTGTTTTTACAAAAAAATATGAATTTTTAAATATATATATATATATATATATATATATATATATATATATATATATATATATTTTGATATGTAAGTAAACATCACGTATGTATTTATGTATGTATAAAGTATTTGACGTTCCCTCTGTTTAATTTTATGATTTCAGATAATTGTTTTATTTATAATTTGGTGATGGAAGACAGGCGTTTCTAGCATTAAAAATATTTTCAAAAATGTGTTTACGTTAACATCCATGGCAAAAATAATTTTCAAATGTAAATAGTTTTTGTAATTTGTTTAAATTTCAACCGTAAATGATTTGTTTCATATATTGAATTTTGCTGATTAGATGGATTTCCTGGAAATTACAGCAAACCGACTTCGAGTAACTGGTAGATAGATTGATAGATAATCTAGAAAATGTTAAAGAAAGAATAGAAAGAAAGAAAGAAAAAAAGAAAATCAAATATGAATATAATAGATAGATAGATAGATAGATATATAGATAGATAGATAGATAGATAAATGAAAAATGACTGAGATAGATAAATAAAAAAAAAATAAATTCTACTATATGTTTAAATAGATAGATAGATAGATAAATGAACAGAAATGAGATAGATAGATAGATAATAGATAATAGATAGATAGATAGATATAAAAAAAATATTCAGATAGATAGATAGATAGATAGATAGAAAAAAACTATTCGATTCAGATAGAAAGATAGAAGAATAAAAAAAAAAAAGAAAAAAAAAGAAATATATGAATATATTTAAATAGATAGATATTAACAGACATAGATAGATAGATAGATATATAGAAAGAAAGAAAGATATGAATATATTTAAATAGATTGATAGATAGATATAAACAGACTTAAATAGATAGATAGATAATGAACAGACTGAGATAGATAGATAGATAGATAGATAGATATAAATGAAAATATTCAGATAGATAGATAGATAGATAATGATTCGATTCAGATAGATAGATAGATAGAATGAAAGAAAGAAAGAAATATATGAATATATTTAAATAGATAGATATCAACAGACTTAGATAGATAGATAGATAGATAGATAGATAGATTGAAAGAAAGAAAGAAAGAAAGAAATATATGAATATATTTAAATAGATAGATATTAACAGATAGATAGATAGATAGATAGATAGATAGATAGATAGATAGATAGATAGAATGAAAGAAAGAAAGAAAGAAATATATGAATATATTTAAATAGATAGATATTAACAGACTTAGATAGATAGATAGATAGATAGATAGATAGATAGATAGATAGATAGATTGAAAGAAAGAAAGAAAGAAATATATGAATATATTTAAATAGATAGATATTAACAGACATAGATAGATAGATAGATAGATAGATAGATAGATAGATAGATAGATAACCTTAGAATGAATAGATAGAATGAAAGAAAGAAAGAAAGAAATATATGAATATATTTAAATAGATAGATATTAACAGACTTAGATAGATAGATAGATAGATAGATAGATAGATAGATAGATAGATAGATAGATAGAATGAAAGAAAGAAAGATATGAATATATTTAAATAGATTGATAGATAGATATTAACAGACTTAAATAGATAGATAGATAGATAGATAATGAACAGACTAAGAAAGAAAGAAACAGAAAGAGGGAAAGGAAGAAAGATAAATATATTCATATAGATAGATAATGAACTGAATGAGATAGATAGATAGATAGATAGATAGATAGATAGATAGATAGATAGATAGATAGATAGATAGATATGAACAATTTCAGATAATTTGAAATGCATAGAGTCTTTCCAGTCAATTTGCCACCGCCAAACGTCGCTTCCCTCCTTTTTTTTTTATAAATATAAATATTTCCTTGGTGAGCTCATTAATTTACGTATTATACTGGATTGGCAGTTAGGTCTCATCTGCAGTCGAAATAAGCAGAATGCAACCGTAATCTCTATTGTAATACTTTCTTCCGTTGCACTTCTCGCCTGTTGACATCTCTTTCCTGTCAAGTACAATCTTGACGTCTTTGAATGGAACATGAATCGTCATCATCTTCCTTCCTGGGTCTCTTATCTTTTATTGTCAATTCTTCTAAGTAAAAGTTTCTCATTTTCTTTCACTCTCAGTAGCACCGTACATCGTTTTGGCGTCATCACTTTGTTTTGAGTAAAAAAATAAAAAAAAAATTAAATGAATAGTTAAAATGAACGTCAAAAGTATTATATATGCCATTCGCAGATAGAATTGTTTCGTTGTATCACAGCTGCGCAGTACGACTATACGTCTGAAAACCTTAAGCGAGGATCGAAACTCGACTGACTTGGTGTTAGTCGGAGTTTCTACCCCAGAGCCAACAGAACTCGGCAGAGAGAAATTGCCCATTCTAATGTATTATTTTTACGAATGCAAACAACCACCAGTCAGCCAGAGTGCTCGTATTCATTTTACAGAAGAGCTTTCTAGAATTAAGCTGTCTCTCAAGAGTGTTTAATTATATATATGACACATCAGTAGTGCGCATCCACTACTGAGCATCGAACCTGTACCGTTTTGATACAAGGCTGACGACATACCAACTGTACCTCGGTGACGAAGAAGACTCAAACTAGACTCGATATAGCGTCGTTACTCACTCAGTTCCGCTGTGATACTCATCCAAGTATAAGGATAACCCTAGAACAGTGCCCCAAGAGCCACGTCTGCTTATTGACCATTAGTCTCTCTTCACGAGCATTAGCTGAGTCAGGCAAGGATATAAAGTGAAGTTTTTGCCGGATACATATTACAATTAACTTTACATTTCAAAATACAACTTGTTAAATTTTTACAGAAAATGTCGTAAAGGAATATTTTCGGGGAAAATTGCTTTCTTGGAAAGATTTTTGTATTTTGTTTGGTTTTAGTATGTAAATAAACTTTTCCGTGAATAAC